CACATTTTAGTTTACCTTATTAATGTGATTTTCCTTGCAAAAAATTATTCCACGTGTGCATATATGTGCATATATAAATATGTATATATATATATATATATATGTATGTGTCTATATATATGTATAAATGTGTGTGTCTATATATATATGTATATATATGTGTGTCTATATATATATATGTGTCTATATATGGAGCGGTTCATGTAAAAATCACAAAAAATTAAGAATCGTAAGAATTTATTACAAATTCATTAATACATATGTACTAATGAATATATGTTCTTTGGTCTTACATTTTTTATGGTTTTTACATGAATCCGATTATCTCTCCCTTTCTATCTCTCTCTCTCTCTCTCTCTATATATATATATATATATATATATCTATATATATATATATATATATATAATCATTTGTTAACAGATCTAAGCATTTTATTTTTTTAATGAACGGTTGTGATTAATGAGGTTATAATTTGATAATAAAGGAAGCAAATTAAATTATATTGAATAAAGGGCATTTTTGGAACAATTTTTATTTTTATTTTTGAAAGATAACCATATTTTATTTTTGAAAGATAATCAATAATATTATTTAATGATTTTTAATTTTTGGAAGACATTCATATTTATTTTTAAAAAATAATCAATAACAATATCTAAATGATTTTTGTTTAAAAATAAAATCAGAAAGTTCATATATTAAATCAAAAAATGAAACAATGATTTTTGTATAAAGTTCGTAGATGAAACCAGATAATCAAAAATAATAAGTGAACCAAAAAGTCAATTAATAATTTTTATATAAAGTTCATAGGTGAAACAAGATAATTAAAGTTCATAGGTGAACCAAAAAGTGAAACAATAATTTTTATCTAAAGTTCATATGCTATTTAAGTTTAATGATCTTAGGGTGTGTTTGGTTTGCAGGAATGTTTCTGAGGGATTTGAATTTGCAGGAGGGATTTGGATTGGATTGGATTTAAAATCCATTCATGTGTTTAGTTTGCAGGATTTGGATTGGATTTGAAATCCATTCCTTTATAAATGGGTCTATGCATATAACTAAATGCATCAGTTTTTCAACTAAAAATTTATATAAATTGCAATAATCTGGGTAATAATTTTTCTTTGAATAATTAAAAATCAAGATTCAAAATCGACGTATTATAAATCTTATCATAATTTGTTGGGAATTTATGTTTAGAATAATTTTTTTAATTACGTGATATATAGATATAGATATATGTTCTGAGTGGAGATTGACTTACAGAAGTGCCAAAGGATACTTTTGTTTTACGGCCATTAAGGAAGACACTTCCAGAAAGGAAAGCATTGGTTGCAAGCCGGCTGGAAAGAGCATCAAGCAAAGTCGACTTGTCGGCGAGGAGGACCGATTAGGGCGCAGCTTCGGGAGGGGACGGGAAGGGAGCACCGGCGAAGAGGACCGATTAGGGCACAACTTCGCGAGGGGACGGGAAGGGAGCACCGGCAAGGGGACATGAAAGGATTACCGGCGAGGAGGAGGGATTTACCGGCAGGTTATGGTGGCAGCGTGAGGGGATGAGAAAGGAAGCAAGGCGAGGGGAAGCGCATAGGATTTGGATTTTAAATCCAGCCCATTTGCAAAGGATTTCCAAATCCATGTTTAAGGGATTTCAATGACATCCCGGGATTTCAAATCCTGACAATTTGGCAAACCAAACACATGATTGGAATGGATTTTAAATCCAAATCCCTCCAAATCCATTTCATTCCTGCAAGCCAAACGCACCCTTATTATACATATAATATTGTTTTTATCTGAATAACTGATTTGTTATAAAAAGATGAAGAAAATGGGTGCATGTCTGCATGGACCATAGTCGAGTCTTGGATCAATGTTATGCTTTCATGTATCAACAGTAACACTGAAAAATCTACTTAAACTCCACATAATATATTTAAAAAGTATCATATATCATTTTCAAATTATTTGTTGAACATAAGTTGTTTATATATGATTTTTGGAACTAAAAACAGTTATCTGGACCTCATAGAAATATTTGGTATTTTGAACTTAGTGTCGAACTCGTCTATTTAATAATTACCATATTTAAAGCTAAAGGATATGGATGAACAGAGTGGGGTAATCAACGTTTATGATGTTTCATGAACTTGTAACAATGAAATATTGACATATAGTCAAAGACTTTCCAGCCTAGTGGTAAAGGCTTGGGCATGTCATAGTCATGAACCCGAGTTCGAGCCATGGGAGGGGAGTGTTGGCGACATTTAAGTGGGGTCATGTTTAGCCTCCAAATTTGCCGGGGATTAGTCGGGCTTTGGCCCGGACACCCTTACAAAAAAAAAATATTGACATATAATCTTGAATTTCTAGTAATATATATTAAAAATTAATACCTTGTGGGTCATAACCTGTTTTTAAAACTTTTGACTAAATGCTTCATAATATAGCAGAAATTATGTGACTTAACAGTAAAATAAATCTAAATTTAATGTATTATAAATTGCTTTTAAAAACCTAAATTAATATTTTAATAATATAATTTCTTGTAATAATATTTAATATATTACAATTATAATTTATTATCAAAAACTAAGAAAGTTATCTTCAAAAATTATGAATTCATCAATCTTGTTCTTTTTTGGTAAACAAAACCATCATGTTTTTATAGAATTCAAATATCATAAATTTATAAAAATAAATAATTTTGAATAAATAAATAAAATATATTAACACAAACATCATGATTGACAAACATTATCCAAAACAATTTTTTCTCAAAAAATATGATGTTATTTTGTATTTTAATAAATATATACTTTTTGTCTTATAAAATACAATATTTCTAATTCATAACCAAACTTATAAACTATAACCAGCCTCATGTTTATAATAAAATGGTTTTACAAAACTTATATTATTTTTAAAGTGTTAAAAGTATATATAATTACCATATATATATAGAGAGAGAGAGAGAGAGAGAGAGAGACTTGAGATCATGTGAGACCGGCTTGATTTCGTGAGACCTGTGAGACCATTTTTTTACATTTGAGATTTCACAATAAAACGCTATGAAGGTAACATACATAGTGTTTTTGCTGTGAATGTTCGATTTTTTTTACCTTCACAACGTTTTGCTATGAAGTTTCCAGTGTCAAAAAATAGTCTCACGGGACTTACGAAAACAAACTGATCTCACATGAATCAACTATATATATATATATATATATATAAATCATTATAATTCATTTAAAAAGGAAATTAGTTAACCTTCGACACAAAGGACATTTAAACGTAGTGATGACGAAACGAGTGATGTTATGTTGGAGTAAGAGTGCATTCACAAATACTTTTGTGTAGGAAAATGGGAAGTACATGTCTTTGCATCAATTGCAACTTCAACCCCATCTACTTATATAATTCACTTTCGTCTCCTTACGGTATGCAATTATTTTTATCAGTTGTTTATTTAATATTTATACTGAAAGATATTAGCAGATATTTATAAACCTTTTGTTATGAGTTTAAATATATCTTCAAAGACATCAGTATATTAGTTTGTTGATTATTAAAAAGAGTTTTATGTGTGTGTGTGTCTATATATAGATTATGTACTTATCTGTATGGGAATCTTTCTCTTTATAGGATCTTATATGACATTAGATTAACAAACTGAGTGGTTGATCCAACATGATTAAAATATAAGCTGATAATGAGAGTTAACTAGAATGGTTTAACTTTTCAGCAAATATCAAATTAAAGATAATCTCTCCAGGTTTATTAATATGTGGATTTAATTGTTGAATATGATAATGAAGGACCTCTGCTACCATTGTATATCACTGAAGTATGCACATGTCTTTGCCTTTTGATTGACTGTTGCTCCCCCAGTCACTTAGACTGGGTTGATTTAAGTATTAAATAAATCTGATTATTTTAAAAAAAATTCTAAGATTACCAACTGATAATGACTATAGAAAGACTCATTCTTGTATCAAACCCTTTATGTAGGTCTTTTGTTTAGTTATATTTGCAGTTGCCTCATAAGATCAATTCAAACTGATTAAAAATCACATAATTATTGCTTGTTGGCAAGTGTATATATATAGTTAATAGTCTTATTTAATTAAACACTATTATATGGTCTGAAATAGATATAACAATCATCTAAATTTAGGTGTATATTACCACGAAACGATCCAAAACAAGGGAACTTTATCTATTATCATAAACAAACTTACTGATAACTCTATCTAAACATGGTTTATGAAGTGTAATGACATGCAAAATTATAATTAATCGATGCCCTTTTACTATGCTCACGTTTACATAATTCTTGTTAAAACCAATCAAAAAGAAAGGAGCACACATTATCAATTTAAGGTCGACTTATATGTAACACAAACTGATCTCGAACGTCAATTCAGTAACCAACCAACTATGGTAGTTTATATCTCATGACTTGTGCGTGTTAGCATTTCAGCTAGTTCCGATACACACACTACAAGGTTGTAGTACTGTATGTTGTCATTTGAATCATCATTTGAGATAAATCATATCATAAAAATAAGTCTATTTTACATGGCTTAATGAGTATGAAAAGGGTGGGTTTATTAAACATGTAGTTAGAGTTTGTTTAGCTTCATCCTTGTAGCATTATTAAATAGTTACACATTGGGTTGAAATTAAAATATCACATAAGTATAGGGGTGTTAATTGAAAATTGACCTACTTTTTAGGGTTTGCCTTTTGGTATATGTGTCAACCATCATCCTTCCTTTTCACTTCCAACTTTTACCACCTGAACAGGCTTAGCGGTTCACCTGTATCTTTCATGGATCACTGGTGGACCTCACCGGAAATCTCTCTCTCTCCCTCCCTCTCTCTCCCACATATGTCTATATTTAAAGGTTGGTGGTGGCATACCTAAATTTGAGTAAGTGTGTTTGAAGGGTGTATTAGCATTTCCATCTTAAACCCCACATCTTGCTGTCATTTTATCATTCGGTTGCGGTGGTTTGGTGGTCGGAGGTGGTTGGTCGGAGAAGGAAAAGATGGGAAGACAACCATGTTGTGATAAACTAGGAGTGAAGAAAGGGCCGTGGACGGCGGAGGAAGATAAGAAGCTCATCAACTTTATCCTTACCAACGGCCAATGTTGTTGGCGTGCTGTCCCTAAGCTCGCCGGACTCCGCCGTTGTGGCAAGAGTTGCCGTCTCCGGTGGACTAACTATCTCCGACCAGACTTGAAGCGTGGACTGCTTAATGAATCAGAGGAACAACTCGTTATTGATCTCCATGCTCGCCTTGGCAACCGGTACGTCTCTTTCGATCGTTTGGTTTTAATTTTTTTTTTAAATTAAATTAACCACATTTTTTATGATGGAAATAGTATTCAATTAATTTAAATAAAATAAATATAATAATTCTCATTTTATCTTGTGTTAAAAATACATATGATAATATTGTTTTTTAAGAATTTTTCAAGATGCTAATAATAATATAACATCAATTTATTCATACGATAACAATAATTAAACAAGAGTACACCAAAAAAGCCGAATCACATGTTATTTTACATTAAATTCACGTATAAAATCATATGTGATTCACGCGATTTTAACTGCAACATAGTCAGGTCGCCCGCTCATCCTTACATTCCGTAATTTGTACTATATTATAAAGCATTTGACAAAAACTCTTAAAAACCATTTTTTATGCATGAAGTACTGTCTATTGATGCATATTACTTAAAATTCAATATTACGATTAATTTTGTGCAAATACAACTTATTAAAACTTTAATTTTAAATTCGTGTAACTAATTACAAATAAACATAATCAAATATAGGATAAACATTTATTTTAAATATAGAAAATCTAAAATGTAATTAAAATAATCATTGAGTTCTAACAAAATGTTTAATTATTATCTTTATAAAAAAATATATTATTAAATCAAAAATAAATTATTTGTTATTAAATCTAAATTAAATTATAATAAAAATGAATTAAATAAGGTATACCAAAAAACGAAAACTATTAAATAGTTAATTTGATACTAATATCGATTTTTTTTTCCAAATTTTTATACTATCTTCAAATTTATATTTCATTAAAAAAATAAAAACATTATCGTTTTCTCAAAACCACATAAAATCGTATTATATCATAGAGACAAAGAGTAAAAACTAAACATTAAAATCGATATTTATCTCGCTGCATTGTGTGAGTACCATTTTAGTTACATATAAATCATATGTAATTTGATCATTTTTCTTGATTTTTTTAGCATTGCTCAATGATCATAACCAATTAGACCAATCCAATAATTGTTTTTATTATATATTTTTAAAAGTTTATAATAATTACGTACGACAAAGTTAACATACGTTGAACACTTAACTTTTGAAAAACGTTAAGATTTAATTGATAATACGGATATCATTTGTCAATTCCTTTTTGGTGAATATTAATTTTACAACATTAACATTAATAAATGCGGTCCTTAATTATGGACCCGTCCGCATAACTAATTTGATCCGACCTTAACTGGTTCTAATTCCGTCCTATTCGATCTTTGACTAGACCTTGTTTTTTTAACTGGTTCTTAATGCCCATCTACAGTTAATAACGTATTTTTTTAGTTATATAAAATAATAAATTAAAAAATTATATATCTGAAAAATAAGAGTTTTAATCATTTTATAAATGAAATCTCTACAAAACTTTAGACATGTTTCATGCCAAAACTATTAAGAGATGTTTAAGTTATTCTATTATTTATATACTTTTATATTTTCTGTGGGCATAATATTCAATATTTCTATATTTAAATAAGTATAACACATGTATTAAATGATTTTGTCATTTTGTGTGTGGAATATAAATAAAATAAGACAACGACAATTGTTCAGTAGTGTCTTTACTGACAGCTTTTCTACTGATAGTATATTTGGTGTCCAATTATTGGACCACAAGTTACTGATGAACTTTTAGTGGCATGATTGTTTTCTGATTGATTATCAAGGGATTCTTCGTTGGTTAAGTTTCCTAGAGAATTATTTGTATTTGTTTTTAAAATACTTGCCAATTGTAACAAACTGATATATTATGGGTATTCTAAAATCTTTATTAATTTTGAAGTAAAAACAATATTAGACTTTGATTTACCTTGGAAATACTAATTATTTATATTGGTATTAATGATTTTATATGGGTTTTTTTATCTGTTAGGTGGTCAAAAATAGCCGCAAGGTTGCCAGGACGAACAGACAATGAAATTAAGAATCATTGGAACACTCATATCAAGAAAAAGCTTTTAAAAATGGGCATTGATCCGGTTACTCATGAACCTCTTCAAAACAAAACTGAAGCAACCAAGACATCATCCTTCTGCTCTGAAAAACATTTGTCAGGATCTGAAAAGTGCCATCACTTATCACGTGATGGAAGTGCCAATACCCTCGGAAACTCGGATGAGAACTCAAGTTTTGCACAATCGGAGAAGTCCATGTCCATTGATGATCATGATACACAAACACTGTTTGAAAGCTTCTGCGAAGACGAGAAGTTATTAAGTCACCTTTTAGGTGAAGAGGAACCTCCGTTGATCGACACATCAGCTTGGGAGTTACCAAATAACGGACCACTCTTCAACCACTGTGCTAATAGTTTCACCAAATGGGATGATTGTGCTACGTGGCTATTGGACTGTCAAGATTTTGGTGTTCATGATTTCGGACTGGATTCTTTCAACGATGTTGAGATCAACATCTTAAATACAAAAAACAACTAACAGGAAAGATGCAAATCCTGGTTTAAGGGAGTCGATATGTGTTGTTCTATGGCCTTGTTTGTTAACACATACATCTTTGCAGGTCCAATGACTTCCATAAGAAAACACACAGTCTTGTCCTAAAAACCAGATGAATTAAAGGAATTAGCAAAAAGATGGAAAAGGGTAAATAAAACCCTAGTTGTCGTACATCTCACATGCTACTAAGTATCATGTTTAGTAACAGTATAGGTTATTAATATTGTTTTTCTTTAAAGTTAATGTTACACAAGTCTTAAATGTAATATGATGGTAGAAGAGAACTTGACTTATCAAATGTTTCTCACCATCAATTGGATAGTATGCAAAACCAAGTCCAAAAGAATGCATGGCTACTTGGAAAATAATTCTAAAGATGGAAACAGTTGTCAACTATAAAGAAGTCAAAGGGTCCTTTTGTAAATATGTAATCTCATGTATATATATATATATATATATATATATATATATATATAGTGAAAAAGAAGGTATCCGGATTTTGCTGACAAACAGTATTTTCAGTAATTTCCGATGGTCTGCTTGGTTTGACGAAATGTTTTTGAAGGATTTGGAGTTTGTAGAAACATTTGGAATTGGAGGGATTTAGAGTTTGAAGGCTTTGGAATCGTTAGTGTGTTCGGTTTGTAGGATTTGGAATGAAATTGAATTCCGTTCTTCTATACAATCTTGTTTGGTTTGTAGGATTTGGAATTGGATATAATTTTTTGTAAATAAATTTTTGTTTGGAGGTGATGAAGAGATTTGGACAGATTTGATGAAAGAGACGAAGTAGAGATGCGATGGATACCACTAAAATCTGTACGTCATTTGGATTTGAAATGACAGTCATTTTCAAGGGATTTCTAAATCTACAGGTTGTGGGAATTTCTAATTCAGAATTTCTTTCAAACTAAACACAGAATTAAGATGGAATTCAGTTCCATATCCCTTCAGATCCTATCAAAATCTTGCAAACCAAACAAGCCCTGAAAAATTATCAATGGATTTGCATTTGGGTCCCATTCGTTAACAAAGAATTAGTGACCTAACAGTGATGAATTATTAACGGATTTGCAACAAACTATCATTAACAACGGACTGTCCATCGATAAATATCATTAATTAATTATACTCTTCGTTTTAATTTATGAAATATGTTGATTTTATGTTCGAACAAAATTCAAATCATCAATTATCGACATTAATAAAAATGAGTAAAATGAAATTAATTAACAACGTAATTAAAAATCAGTTAAAAATTTTCAATGTTTTATCTAGATTTACTTTTAACCACAAGGGTGGTGTCTGATTGGTTTGAACTTGGCTCCAAAGGTCAAAAGTACCAGGAAGTCTCAGGTTCAAATCCAAGAAGAAATAAAAATTCCCTTGTGGCCACGAAGGTTCAAATGCAGTGACTCCAGGCTATCCGCAAAGCAGGTGGTCATCCTGGGATTAGTTGGCTCGCATAGCGGGTTGGATATCCAGGTTAATAAAAAAAATCAGTTAAAACTACCACTAATATAATATCGAGAACCCAAATCTGAAATTGAAGTTGGGCTTATACAAATAGCCCACTATATAAAAGATCAGCCCATCAGATTAAATATAACTCATTCAAAAAATGGCCCAACTTTCTTTGTTGTAAAATTTTCAAACGATACCATTTGTTAACGAAAAAAAAAATTGCATGAAATAGCAATCTATTTTCATAAATTTTTGTATTATAACAAATTATTTTTTGAATTATTTTTTATTAGGGCATTATATTTTAAAATTTTAACCATTATAGCAATGAGTAACCTTTTAATTTGAACTTCGATGACATGACACAAGTTAGCAGGTTGGTATGACATGTCATTGTCCACGTGTCACATATAGCCGATCTGTAATTTATGACCAGAGCATGATACTTTCAAGATTGTCTTGTTATACATTTTTCAGTTCTCATAAAAAGGGAAACTATAAAATGGTTTTTTTTTTCTTTTCTCAAACGTAACTTACTAATTTTTGGACAAATTGCATGAAAAAATAACATATTTTAACTTGATTCATATTTTGAGTAACGTACTTTTAAAACTTTTGCATGTCACATATAATTTATCGAGAACTTATAACAGATTCACTGAAAAATAAAATTTAATACAAATCGTTATTATCATAAATATTATGTTAAATACGACATCGTATGCAACAATTAGATTTTCGGATAAGATTTTAGTCCACTAAAACGACATCGTATGCAACAATTTACCCGGTAAACGCTTACCATGGTAAGAGTCATCCCCCTCACTTACCGGGTAAGACTCTTGGTCCTTATCTCGCTCTTACCAAGTAAAATTTTTGGTCCTTACCATATTCACCCGGTGAGGTAATATGACTTGGTAAGTGCTTATTCAGGTAAACGTTTGGTAAACGACCCCTAAGCGTCTACTTTCAAAATCAAATTATGAGATGAATAAAATTTTTGTTTCTTTATATATAATTAAAGATAAAATGTCATTTTATTAATCAAAAGATATAATAATTACATATTTCTAAAATTGTGTATACTTATTTTAGAAGTAACGAATGCATTAAAAACTCTACAAAACATTTCTCTAATTAAACCCGGTGGTTGGAGACGTTCATTGCGTATGGCATAGGCAGGCTCTCAAAGTGACAAGTTTGTTGGGCATTTTATATATAAAAAACCAACATAAACTCCATATCTTTTGTATAAAAAATGACACCAAATTTCGGAGCCCAGATTTATCTGAAAATCACCGACTTCTGGTCCTGGAGGTGGCAAATCGACAACCACCAGGACCATTTCGCTCGTACCATCCTCACAATTATGGTTCCGTTACTGATATTTTTATGGTATCAGTATATGGAAGTGTATATTAGAAAGGGCAAGACTCTCTTGCCACCAGGCCCTTATGGCTTGCCAGTCGTAGGGTACTTGCCCTTCCTGACCTTTAACTTACACGAAAGATTCACTGAGATGAGTCATAGATACGGACCCATCTCTAGTTTGAGGCTCGGAAGTAAGCTTCATGTTGTGGTGAACTCTGTGGAGCTAGCCAAGGTCGTGACTCGTGACCTGGACAAGACATTTGCTAACCGTAGTCCGCCGTTCACGGCCCTGACCCTTAGTTATGGCATGCTCGATGTTGTGTGGTCCAACAACAACGCACACTGGCGTAAGATGCGTAAACTTATGGTGAGCCAAGTGTTGAGCAACGCGAATCTTGACGCTTGTGCGGGTTTTCGGACAAATGAAGTTAGAAAAGTGGTGAGAGACGTTTACGGTAGGATCGGGAAGAGGATAGATATAAACAAAGTGGCTTTCGATGCCGAGCTTAATGTTGTAACGGGGATGTTATGGGGTTGTAGCGAAGAGAATCATTCGAGTTATATTGGAAATGGGTTTCGAGAAGTTGAATTCAAGATTCTCGAGTTATTGGGAGCACCAAATATCTCGGATTTTATCCCGATGTTATCGTGGTTCGATCTGCAGGGCAGGCAGCGAGAAATGCAGAAGCAAACGGAACATCTTGATCGAGTCTTTGATAAGATCATCCGCGGAAGAATCAATGGCGGGTCTAGAAAAGTGGAGGAAGATGGAAGGAAGGATTTTGTGCAGATCTTGTTAGAGCTTAAAGATAAAAAAGATGGTCCGATATCGGTTAACATCGATCAAATAAAGGCCATACTATCGGTACGTTGTGTTATCTGTGCTTTTTTTATTTCTGACTACAATAAGATCAGTTTTATAGGACCTCAAATACATCTAAATGTCATAAATGATGTTTTATAGGACTTCAGTTTATAATTAAAACCAAACATACGCTCATGTGAAAAAGTGTTAAAATAGGATCTTACTACGCATTTTAACTATTATCACAGGATATTTTAACTGCGGCAACAGATACAACTGCAACGATGGTAGAATGGGTGATGACAGAGATTTTGCATCACCCAGAGGTAAAGACAAAAATTCAACAAGAACTAACAGACGTTTTTGGTATGAAGATTGTTGAAGAGTGTCATCTTTCCAAATTGACGTATTTGGATGCGGTGATCAAGGAGACATTTAGGATCCACCCTCCACTTCCGCTCCTCATCCAGAGATGCGCAAATGAATCTTGCACGGTGGGTGGATACATGATTCCCAAGGGAACGATCGTGCACATTAATGTTTGGGCGATCCATCGGGATCCAAGAAACTGGTTGGATCCACTGCAGTTCAAGCCAGAAAGATTCTTGAAAGGCAAATGGGATTACAACAGAAATAATCTAAAGTTTTTGCCGTTTGGAGTTGGGAGAAGAATATGCCCCGGAGTCCCGCTAGGGGAGAAGATGTTGGTGTATATATTAGCATCGCTCTTGCATTCTTTTGAGTGGAGGTTGCCGGAAGATGAAGATTCTGGAGTTTTTGATGAGTTTCGGTTTGTGATGAAGAAAAGGAAACCACTGATTGCTATACCATCTAAACGGTTATCTGATGCAAGCCTCTATCTATGAATATATATATATATATATATATATATATATATGTGTGTGTATGTATACGAATATGTATATGTGTGTGTATGTATACGTATATGTATAATTAAATAAAGTTATATCAATTAAAATAATAATATCTCTGTACCAGTGCTCCAAAAAGCTCGTCATTATGCATTGTATCTCAAAATTCGTCTTTAATGTCACGTCAACTCTGTTACACAATATGGCTTAAATGCGCGATCTTTGTAAAGCATTATTCAATTTTTCCTTTCCTTTTTAATGCATCATTTTTTAGTTTTTATACGTAACCTACTTTAAATTGTTTAATATCATTGAGTCATGAGTAATAATCGATCGTAAGATTTGGATACATGAGTTATTTATTCTGCATATATCTATCTTATTTTACGGAACAACTTTACTTGTATACATTCATAGATAGAGTCTTGCATCAGATAACCGTTGAGATGGTATAGCAATCAACGGTTTCCTCTTCTTCGTCACAAATCCAAACTCATCGGAAACCTCAAAATCTTCGTCTTCCGACAACCTCCACTCGAAAGAATGCAAGAGAGATGCTAATATATAAACCAACATCTTCTCCCCTAACGGAATTCCAGGGCATATTCTTCTCCCAACTCCAAACGGCAAAAACTTCAAATTGTTTCCGTTATAATCCCATTTGCCTTTCAAGAATCTCTCTGGCTTGAACTCCAATGAATTCGGCCAATTTCTAGGATCGCGATGGATTGCCCAAACGTTGATATACACGATCGTTCCCTTTGGAATCAAGTACCCGCCCACCGTGCAAGATTCATCCGGGGATCTTTGGATGAGGAGCGGTAACGGAGGGTGTATCCTAAATGTCTCCTTGATGACGGCATCCAAATACGCTAATTTCGGCAGATGACATTCTTCGACAATACTGTTCATACCCAAAACATCATTCAACTCTTCTTGAATCTTTGTTTTTACCTCGGGATGATGCAAAATCTCCGCCATCACCCATTCTACCATCGTTGATGTTGTGTCTGTTGCCGCAGTCAAAATGTCCTGTCGCAACCATTTTGGGATCATCAGCATACGCTTTGTAACAAAATCGGTTTTACAAGATCGTATTATATCTAACAATTGAAGTATAATACAACTTACAAATAATAGTGCCTTTATTTGATCGATGTTAAGTGATATTGGACTGTCTTTTTGATCTTTAAGCTCTAACAAGATCTGCACAAAATCTTTCCTTCCATCTTCATCCATCTTTCTGGAGTTACCATTGCTTCTTCCGCGGATGATGTTATCCAAAATCCGATCAAGATGTTCCTTCTGCTTCTGCATTTCTCGCTGCCTTCCCTGCAGATCGAACCACGACAGCATCGGGATAAAATCTGAGATATTTGGAGCACCCAATAACTCGATGATCTTGAACTCAACTTCTCGAAACCCATCTCCGATGTCGCTCGAATCTTTTCCTTCACTACAACCCCATAACATTCCCGTTACGACATTAAGCTCGGCATCGAAAGCCACCTTATTAATGTCGATCTTCTTCCCGATCCTTCCGTAAACGTCTCTTACCACTTTTCTCACCTCATCCGTTCGAAAACCCGCACAAGAATCAAGATTTGCGTTGCTCAAAACCTGGCTGACCAACAGTTTACGCAACTTACGCCAGTGTGCGTTGTTGTTGGACCACGCGATATCAATCCCGCCATAAGTGATGGTCAGGGCTGCGACCGGTGGAGTACGGTTCGCGAACGTTTGGTCCAGGTCACGAGCCACGACCTTAGCTAGCTCCACGGAGTTGACCACAACGTGAAGCTTGCTTCCGAGCCACAGGCTGAAGATGGGGCCGTATCTATGACTCATGTGGGTGAATCTTTCGTGTAAATCGGAGGCAAGAAACGGCAGATACCCTACCACCGGTAAACCATATGGGCCCGGCGGCAAAGAAGTTCTGTCATTTCTGATGTACTGATACCATAAAAATAACAGTAACGGAACTGAAACGGTGAGAATAGCACGAGCGAGATGGTCCTGGTGATTGTCGACTTGCCACCACCATGACCAGGAGGAGATGATTGAGTGATAAATCTTGACTCCAAAATTTGGTGTCATTTTTGGCAGAGAAGATTCCGGAGTTTGTGAAGCTTTTTATCAATTTGGAGTTGATGGTTGCTTCTGGACCATGAGAATCGTGGGAGCATTCCACATCACAAACTTATCCTTTTTTAACTTTGAGATCCTGCCCATGCGACACGTATCAAGACCAATAAAAAAGTGTTTTTAGGGCTGCTTTTTACGCACGAGATAGGACATGGAGGTTTCGTTTAGGACGGGACGGGACGGGACGGGACGGGACGGGACGGGACGAGACGAGACGAGACGAGACAAGACAAGACAAGACAACGTTATTAACATTAGTTCCATTGAGTTAAGGATATTATGGTATTTTTACTTTTTGTTTTAAAAAAATAAAAGTAATATACTTTCCACATATCTATTTATCGGTATATAAAAAAGAGTAAATTACACACACATTGTCCATGTCATTCAAGATTCGCCCTTCCCCCATCGGTGTTCGCTTCTTCCCCGCTATCTGGTGAAACGTCCTCATATTGCACGTCGAACGATCTCCATTTCCAACGACAATAAGCATCCCTACACTTACCCATGTTAGGTACCCCATCTCAGGTACTCTTGAAAGGGAAACACGAAGAGAAAGGAGGGTGAGGGCTTCAAAGTGGAAAAAAGACCGAAGAAAGGTTGTTGGTTGCGGTAATTGGTCTACTACGACGGTGTTGTGAGGAAGACTAGAGTGGTCACGACTGGAGTTGCGGTTACTAGCGAATCCCCTCCCCTTCCCCGCATACGTCACGTTCCTTTACACAGATCATCAACCTCCATCGACGCATTCACCACCGGCTACGACCACCACCTCCCATTTCATCATCCCATTTGTATTTTGTTGACTATCTATAATCTATTCTCCAAGGTTTTAAAGATTATAATTAATTCAGGCAATGGTTTGAATTTTCAATTTTGAACCAATTTGTCAAAGAAATACCTAAATATATTATTTATTTTAATAATAAGTTGTATTAAAATAATTAAACATTTCAATCATCAATAATATTGTTTTTAGTGCACTTCTATAAACTAATCAAGCCATTAGTTAACCCATCAAATCAAATCCAATTCAATAATTTAATTTGAGATTTAATTGGTTTATAAAATGGGTAATGTTTATCTGTACTCTATTTTTTTTATTAACCTGAATATCTAATTCGTTTATGTGAGTCGACTAATTCCATAACGACCACCTGCTTTGCAGATAGTTCGGAGTCACCGCATTTGAATCTTCGTGGCAACGAGGGGATTTTTATTCGTTCTTGGATTTGAATCTGAGAACTCCTGGTACTTTTAACCTTTGGAGTCAAGTTCATACCAATCAGGCACCGTCCTTGTGGTTTGTGTACTCTATTTTATGTGACAATAAGATTAATTTATGTAATTTGTTAAGAATTGGATTCTATCTGTTTGATTTATAAAATATAACTTTGAAATTGAGTGAAATATAGGTAAATGACTAAAATGTCCAATTTAAATTTTTTAAATTCTTATAAAACTAAAAATATTTTAATAAAATAAGTATTTAATATATAAAATTATATAAAATTATCAATCCAAAGTATTAAATTAAATTAAATATGTTACGGTTGAACAAAGTATATTTCGAAAAAAAAGTAAATTAAAAATATAAAATATAAAAGAAAAGAAAAGTATTACTAAAAAGCAATAAATTAAGTTAATTAGTTTATATTTTGGTTGATGGATATATTTTAATAAAAAGTCATTTTTTAATAATTGCCATGTTTTTTAATATTTTTTTAACTTTGTTTTTAAAGAATTATGAATAATTTATTAAATAAAATTTTAGGTAATAAAATACAAATAGTTTGGTCATTAATTAATATTTATTAAATTAGAAATTTAGCATTATACGTTAACGAATATAAAAAAATCCAAAATATAATTAATATTACAACAAAAATAAAATATATTACATAATAAAACTATAAATAATGTATCTTAATTTAATGTTTAATAAATGTTAATACTTTTTTGATTTTTTATTAATAAATAAAATATACGTAAATACAATATTAAAATAATTTGAAACATTAAAAAATACTTTTATTGGGTGAATGTGGGTATTCGAGTCAGCTTACGCACTCCAACTAATTTCATGTGTGATCAAGAATGACATGAAGTCATCGAAGGTGAACCTCCATGTCCATAAGAGCTTTAATAGGTGCAAATAAGTGTTCACAAGTGTTCCTGTAGGTTCATATATGAGAGCTATGAGTTAAAATTAGTTAATAAGTTACATATATGTTCATATGCATTCATAAGTGTTTCCGTATATTCGTACGTGAAAGCTATGAGCTAAGATTAGTTAATAAGTTACATATATGTTCATATGTATTCATAAGTGTTCCCAAATGTTTATATGTGAAAGTCACGAGCTAAGATTAGATGAAAAGTTACATATATGTTCATATGTATTCATAAGTGTACAGTACAATATTCATAATTCAACACGGATGATTTTATGAATTATAAAAGGAAGGAACAATTACTGATTTGTAACCAATGTAAAAAAAATACATTGGACATCTCTTCTAAAAATACCTTTGTTCCCCTATGTTTTGATATCCTTGATTTTCAATTAATTACAAATATGCCACAATTGATCTCCTTTATAGATACTAAGAATCAAAAACTTAGATTGGTTTATAAAGTTAACATGTACAAATTATTGTGTTAACAAAACAACTTGCACACACACACACACACACACGTGTGTGTGTGTGTGTGTATATATATATATATATAATTACTTTGTAAACCACGTTATTTATACAAACATTACAAATCTTATTCAATCAATCATAATTTTTCATTTTGTTCATATTTTTGTAATTATGAGAGGTTGATTAATCATTTTTATTGTGGAGAGTGTTAATCATGGATATTATCATCTTCATTATATTAATTATAAAGAAATACATGAAACAATTTCATTAAAATTTCATAAGTATTATATGAAACAATTTCATAACCATATACGAAAAACTTCATCAAAAAAGTATTATATGAAACAATTTCATAACATTTTACAATTTCATGAAAAAAGATTCATAAGATTAAACAATGAAATCGACAGATGAAGGTGGTTTGCATAGTTTGTACAAATATGTATGGTTTGCATTTGATCACTCTTTTCTCTCTCTCTCTCTCTCTCTCTCTATATATATATATATATGTATATATATATATATATATATATGTGTGTGTGTGTGTTTTTCTATTATTTTTAGTTTTATTTATATAATGTTCAATTTGAGAAAATTCTAGTCAAAATAATACTTTTCAACCCTTGACATTAAGTTTTGGGCCGTCATAAAATTATTTGATACGAATCATATCCCAAAGTTAACTAATTTTCTCAAGGATTAAATTAAAAAAACAAATCATAATTTTTATTCTGCTATCTTTCAGCAACTGAACGGGAACTGATTTAAAAAAAAACTTTATAATCGACTTCTAACCCAAAGTCTGACCGAGAGGTGTGAGAGAAAGACAAGTAAGCCCTATCACGTCCCTTCTAAATAAGAGTGTGACTAACCCTCTTAGCCCTCAGCGAGGGCCTCTGCTTGACCCTCAACCGTTGGCTCCTTCTCGTTCCTCACCCTCAGCTAGGAATTGTCTGCCTTGTTTTACAAAAACAACATCGATCGTTTTAAGAAAATAATGCATCTATAATTATTTTTGATACATAAGTCTCAGTAATTATAACAATATCTATCTTATTGAAATTTTTATATGATTTTGTTCCTTAACTTTTCACTTCAAGAAAAAGTTTAGTTAGTGATCAGAATTTTAATGACTATTTATTTTTTGGTCACTAAATGTGACTTTAGTGATGATAAATAATAAAGTTCGTCACGAAAATTTGGTCATTAATATGATTTTTCTGACAAAATACCAAAATTTGGTTATTAAGTGGTCATTAAAAGTGTTAGTAACCAAAAATAGTGGTCACTAATTTAAAATGATTAGTGACCAATTTTTTTGGTCACGAAGTAGTAATTGGTGTTAATTAGAAATGATAGTGACCAAAATACTGTAGTCATCAAACTACAGAGATTACAAATATTAGTGATAAAAAATAATTGTCTCTGTATTTCAATTAAATAATTTAAAATAAATATTTATTGTATTATTTACAAAATAATATTCAAAAAAATATAACCATTTGAATATGGAAACAATCAATAGATGTGTATTTTTGACTAGAAAAATAGGATTTATGAACTAGGTTTGAAATTATGGTTGCCAATTGAGACAATAATTAAAAAATATATATATAAATTTATAATTTCTTTATTGTTGTGGAATTTTTCATTATTTCAATTGTATGGCTCATAATACAACTCCACATCTTGACTCTTGGGGTTCATATGTATTGGTTTTGGACTATGTAACTTGTTGGGTTGATCCATCTTTTGTGCCTTTTTTTTTCTTGTTGAATTGTTATATGTGTAACGATTGGAACCTTCTTACAAGTTAATGAATTTCTGTTTCAGTTTGTTAATTGTATATATCAGTTTCTGTTTCTGTTCGGTGAGTAACAGAAATATTGAACATTGTGGATAAATCTGTCACTCTGTGGTAGCGGTATAGCTTGTCTGTTCAGTGTAAGAGAACACAATGGTTCTGTTCTGTGACACGGGTCTTTAAGTTGTAAATGTACATGGAACTCTGTTGTTTGTCTAAACTCACCCACTCATAAGGTCTGCCTAATTATGACAAAAAGAGAAGAACATAATCTAACAAAGACTTGTGATCGACAAAAAAAGAAGATTATCAATATTGTGTCCTCAATATTAATTGTATGGTGATAGGAGAACCTAATCTAACAAAGACTTGTGATTGGTCTATATATTGGCGGTTGGTTCGATCTAAATCGCTAAAAAACATTCAACTGTAAACCCGAGCTGTTTGATTATATTTTAGACCAGACTGGAGCGTTAAACCACCAAAAACTATCTA